ATCACTGTGATATGATGTTTTTAGATCTTCTGGGAAAATACCCAGCAGAGGGGATAGCTGGGTTGAATGGGATCTCTACACCTAGTTTTCTGAGGAATCTCCAAACTGATTTCCACAGTGGTTTCACCAGTCTGCATTCCCACCAGCAGTGGAGAAGGGTATAGAGGGAAATGTCACCTAACTAGTGAGGGATGGAGCTAGGATTTAATCCAAGTTTGTCTGATTTCAGAGGCTCTCATAATTGATCACAGCTATCAGACACTTCTATAGAGTTTACTAAGTGCCAGATACTTTTCTGAACACTTTAAATTTGTAAATTTACCAATTTTCACAATAATTCTATGAACTAGGTTTTTATATTTATTGTTATCTCAATTATAAATATTGGGAACTTTTGCAAAACCTGAGAAACTTGCTCAAGCCACACAGATCTACTTCTAAGTCCACATTCCAATGATTATGTTATCTTTGTTTCAAAAATGAGGGTTAACTGAATGTAGTGGCACACATAATTAACATCCCAGCACTCTGGGAGACTGAAGCAAGATCTCAAGTCCAAGAAGCCTAGGGAGCTCAGGAAGACCCCATCTCAAAATTAAAGATAAAGAAAGGGCTGGGAATGTAGCTCAGTGCAGGATCCTTTGAATACTCAGGCTTTGAGTTCAATCCCCAATATCAAAAAAGTTTACCTTTATTTTACATTTTGAAGTGTGCTTTTAAAAATAACTTTTAAAGTTCAATCTTAACTACGTGGTACAGGTATTGGTTTTAAGTTTTATGTTTATAGATTTATTAAGTAAAGCCACATTCAAATTCTTCCCACCAAAATATTCTGAAGAGCTCTTTAGTATATTGTCAGTATAACTGAACTGGCACTGTCAGAAATATCGAATCACAAGATCAGAAGAAGGCGTATTAATTATCTAGTTTAAGGACTGGAATTGTCTCTATAAATTCCATGCCTATTTATCAGTCAGCCTGTGAGGCTCAGCATTTTCTCACACAGCCAGTTTGTCGTCAGCTAGGATATATTTGTAAGCTCTTCTAATATTCAGCTAAGTATGGATTGTTAGGATCTATATTAATTAGACCCAGTAAATAAATACTGGCTATGATTTCTGTGTCACAGATGGCTCTCATATATTTAAAGATAGTTATGTCTCCTGGAATCTTACCTACTCTTCAGGTAACCTAGTTTCTATTCCTTCACACCTTGTCAGAATTTCAGTTTATCTGAAGTTATTAGAACTAAGCACGAACTTAGAGTTGGATGGTTTTGGTAACAAGCAGGGCAAAACCGCACTACCCTTTGGAAAATGTATCCTTGGGGAACAGCACTGCAACACTGAATCAGATTGAAATTAAAGTCACTTAAACTAGTGATGTTTTTGACTTACTGTTTGAGGATTGCCTTTTCCTTCTGTTTTCCTTTGCAGGTCTTTCCCACTCACTTACCGCTCTTGGCTGGCCAAGCACCGTGGCCACACCTGCTCAGGACTTTTACACACACTCCCTCTGCCAGGTGGATGTGCTCCCCCTCTCCCTGCTCCACTTGACCTCATCCCTCCATTGTGATGCCCTCCTTTTTGATTGGGTATTCTCAGAGCTACCTAAAGTTTTCTATGTGTTGCTTATCTTCTGTGAGCAGTCTGTCCTGGCTTTCTGCTTATGTTAGGTCTCCCTGATAGTCACTTTTCCAAATTTTGTGATTCCAATTCCAGAAACTTTTTTAAACTGTAATTGTTTTAAGTGTATAAGATTAAGAGCACTGTCTGTTTCATCTGCCTTTTTACCTTCAGTTCTTGGCACATATTCAATATGCATACATTGACCAGTTGGTAATAATGGGATTTAGAATAGTTTTTTAAAAAATATTGTGCTGTTACTTTTGACTCATTTTGTTTCTTGGGACTTTCAGAAGCATGACTGTATCAAAGAGAATATTTTCATTTTCTTGGATGCATCTGGTTAGCACGTATGTCATCCACGCTCTGATCCAATTGATGGCTAGGGTCCTGTGTCATAACATAAGCGAGCTCCCTGTAGGCTGATAGCAATCCTTTGAATTATACCCATTCAATTAAGATTGAATTTATTTTGCCATATGGCCATTCAGCTCACATTTTGTTAGCTTGAATACATGATATAAAGATAAATATTAACTCTCTTTTAAATTTTGAATAAAAATAAATTCTATTGCATTTTCCTGAAATATCTTGTCTGAACTTTAAAATATTAGTCTAACAATGTAATAAACATGCAACTGGATATGATTTTTTTTTTAATTTTAAAGAGAAAAGAAAGAAACAAAAACCATGATACAGAATTTTAAAACAAAATGATAATAAGCAATGATTATTATATTACATATTGTTATCTTCAAAGTAGTTGCTCAGATTACAAAATATAGGCATGCAAAACTGATCAAGCAATATAAGCACAAATCATTCCTGTCAATAAACTAACAGAAATTAGTATAGTTATTTTAGGTACCTTGTGTATATATGTATATATTTTTTCTTCCCCATCCCAGTTGTTCTTTCCTTTTGAACAGTTTCTTTCCCTTTCACAGTATCTATTGTATATTTTGGATCTTATTTACTCTTTAAGTTTCTTACAATAGGGAGACAATATGATGTTCACACATGAGAGTCTCATTTATTTCACTTATGAGTATGGTCTCTAGTTGCATCCATTTACCTATAAAAGCCTCTGGTTTGTCCTTCTTTATAGCTGAGTAGTACCCCATTGTATATAAATACCACATCTTTTTTATCCATTTCTTGGTTTATGAGCATTTGGGTTGTTTCCAAGATTTAGCTATGACAAACTGTACTGCTGTAAACGTGGGTGGGCATGTATCACTGTGGTATGATGTTTTTAATTCTTCTGGGAAAATTCCCAGACGAGGAATAGCTGGGTTGAATAGGACTTCTAATCCTAGTTTTTTGAGGAATTTCTATACTGATTTCCACAGTGATTCCACCAGTCTACACTCCCACCAGCAGTGGAAAAGGGTTCCTTTTCCCCCACAACAATGCTAGGATTTGTTATAGGTTGATTTCTTGATGACAGATATTCTTTCTGGAGTGAGATGAAATCTCAGTGTTAATTTAATTTGTATTTTTCAAATGACCAATGATGTTGAACATGTTTTCATATATTTATTTGCCATTTTTATTTCTTCTTCTGAGAAGTGTGTATTCATCTCAGATGCCCATTTTTGGGGTGGGTCTTTTAATTTTGGAGGCCTGACTTTTTTTCGATCCTTTGTATGTTCTCCATAGAAGTCCTTTGTCTGAGGGACAGTTGGCTAAAACCTCATTCTGTGGGATTTCTTTTCACTCTGTTGGTGATTTCTTTTGATGTGCAAAAACTTTTTAATATGATGAGATCCCAGTTGTTGATTCTTCGAAGTATTTTCTGCGTGGTTTGGTTTTTGTTCATGAACTCTCTGCCTACCCCTATGTCTTCAAGATTTCTACCTACTTTCTCTGCCAGTAGAATTAGTGTTTCTGTTTTAATATTTAGATCTTTGATCCATTTTGACTTTAGTGCATGGTGATAGACATGAGTCTAGGGTAAATCTGATTTCTTCTAAGTTCTTGCTAACTAGTATTTAAATAGAATCTTGCCTAAGATTGAGATGTATAATATGTGTAATGTTTGCTGAACTACTTGAGAATAAGAGGAAAACAGAAAAGAATAATATTTTATGTATATGGTAAATACATTTTATGTATATTATTTATAGTAAAACAGTTACTCAAGGTATTCATCATTAATGCTATCTAATATTCAGTTTGCGTTCAAATGTCACATGATGTTCCTCAGAACAAGTACCCAAATGAAGTTCATATGTTCACTTAGTTGTCAAGCCTATCTATTCTCCTTAAATCTAGAATAGTTTTTGCCTTTTGTAGCATTCATGATGAAGGAGACCACTACGAAGCAGCCCTGAGTACGACTTAAATTAACCAATGGGATTTTCATGTTTACTTGTGAATCTGTCCAAATCCCAGGCACCTTGTCTGGAAATGGGCAGTGGACTCATAGTAAGTGAACCTCTGTGGGTCACTAATCCTTACTTAGGCCTGTGATGGCAGATGAAACTGGAAAGCCTCAAAGGATAAGACAAGATCACAGCCAAGGACACCTGGATCCGATCTCAACTAGATAAAGACTGTAGCCTCAGGCATCTCACTTGGGTGGATTAATTTAATACCTTACTTGAAGAAGTCCTTGAGTGTTTCCACCCTTCTTGAGTACTCCCCTCTCTTCTTGTGATAATTAAATAAATATGGACCACCCAGAGAAGTTCTTGGCTTTAGCCCTGAGAGAATCTCGAATTCTGTGAGAGGGCTTTGATCCTCCTAGAGCCCTGAAATCATTCCATTTGCCTCTTTTATTTAGCCTTTGCCATATACTTGTTTGAGAGATTGTGGACATGATCAGCCTGCAATAACTAAGGGATATTATTAACCCGATACACGATGCTGAAAATTTTTAAGGAGTTCAGAACAGTTTTTTGCAGAATAGTTTTTATATTTGGATTAATTTACTTATTTATTCATGATCACCTCCTGCCTAAACATTTTGGCAAAAATACTACATAGATAATCTATCTTTCTCAATCTATGACACCGGGAAAAAGATGATGACCCTTCATGTTATTATTAGTGGTTTTTGTCTGATCTCTTGGTTAAGGTGGTGGCCACTGAGTTTCTTCACTGTAAAGTCACCTTTTCCCCTTTGTGTTTAATAAAAACTCTATGGAGAGATAATTTGGGATCAGCTTGCCTTTGAAATCAGAGTTGCCTTTGTGTTCTCCATACTCCTTTCAGCAATACTTCAGGATTGTTGGACTGCATTCTCTATCATAGTCATGGAATCTCTATCTTGATTACATAACACAAAAAAATATGGATTCTGATTCAGTGCAGCCATTCTTTAACAATCTCTTCACCAAATACAAGTGGTGGTTGTTTCTTACCCACATTTGTTCCATGGGTATAACTCAACAAGAGTCTCCTTTGTGGACCAACTGTACGGAGCAGAGTGGGGCAGTTTCTTTTTCCTTCTGTTTTCTGTTAAAATTTACCGTCAGTCCACTGAGTTGTTCCCTTTTGCATGTGTTCAGCCTCATTCCACTCAACTCTTTTGCCAGTTGTATTGTTACCTGTCTCTTCTATATCCTGGCTTGAAAGGCAAAGTGTAAATTATTGCACTATGATTATTAGGTGCTACCTTTGGAAGTATGTTCTATGCTTTCCCAGCTGAGGCTCCTATTCCAGGTACTGCCCTTCAGACAAAAGGGAAAAATCAGTTTTGCTGTTAATTCAGTTGTGGGCAGCAGGCTTGTTCCTTTTTCCTTTTTTTTCTCTTCTGCTTTACATTCCATGGTACTATTTAACTAGAATTCCTTGTATGAAGCCATCATACTTTTACTAAGTTTTTACATTTTTATCTCATTGGACTGCTCTGTACATATGGCAATTTATCTTTCTAAAACATCTCTATACCCTTGGCTTTCTGGACAGTATGCTCTTCTGTTCTTTGATAAACTACAGACCATCTCTGCCATGTGGGGACTGTAAGTTTTTTCATTTCATATTAAAGTAACTCTTCTGTCTCCTAAAATGTTGGCATTAAATATGTTATTATACATATACCTGAAATATTTTTTGTTTTATTTGATTATAGAATCTTCTAACAAGGCAGAGGACCTCAAGTGGTTCATTGGAAATCATGGGTATGGTCGAAGAAAAATGCACCAAAGTTAAGCAGCAAGAAAGCCTTTATCAGTGATTATTGCAGTGGAAGAGTCTGAATGGAATTCTGTTGAAACAAAAGGCAGGAGAAGTTTTCGTCACTGTGTTGAGCTAGTTGAGCACTTGCAGGGAGCTTGGTCAGCCTGCTAGGGCCATTCCTATCTGCTGATTAAAGTTAGGGTCCTATCTTCCCACACAGACCAAGAGATGGGGCACTATCTATCTTGATGATTACATTTCAAAAGGATGGCTCCTAGGTCCTTAAGAAAGACAGTCCAGGGTTGTAAAACTGGTCAGAGACTGGGAGATTTATTTACATTTCAAAGGGGCAGAGAAAGAATTTGCAATTACAAGTTTTCTAAAGTAAAATGCACTAAGAGAAGGGAGGTCAGGGGTCTACAGTTAGCAAAAACATGTCCAAAGCTTAGTCAAGCTGAAAGACCCTTAAGGCCACCTTGATTAATGCAAAGTTATATCTTCTCATAGATCTCTGGATGCAAAAGTCATCACTGGATGTGACTTTTGAAACAAGTTCCTGGTCATAGACTTAATTCTTCATGAAAAAAGAGAACACTGTACTGCCAAGAGAATATTAAAAATAGTGTCCAATGGCTAGGACAGAGATAGACCATTTTGCACTGGGAAGAAAGAAACCACAATAGCTGAGAAATTCAGTTTGTAATGATTATGTTTCTAACCCACAGGAGTGTTTAAACTCTACTCTCCATGTTATATACACAAAGAAAGCAGTTTTATATTTT